AAGGTTTAAAAATATATATATTTGAAAACTTCTACCCTTTCTAAAATGTAAACTTATATATATATGATGTAATATGGTTAAGAAATTCAAAACTTCCGTCACTTTAAAAAGTTTAATTGGAACCAAGATATAAAAGTTCATCATTTGGTTCAAATATATATATATATATATATATTTAAGCACACATATTTATAAGTATAGAGAGGTAAAACTTTGGTTTAGAAAAGAAGGTTAGAAAAAACAAAAAAAAATTAACGGGCTTCAAGCCCGGCCCGAGACCCGACTGGCCCGGTCCGACCGGCCCGTATCCCATTTGATCTGAAGTCCGAAAGCCCGAAGTTTAATGAGCCTACATTTTTTAGGCCCATGTCCTTATAATTTTCGGGTGGACTCCGGGCCGGGTTTCGGACTCCGGCCTTAATTGACATCCCTCCATAGAGAGAGAGAGAGAGGAAGACAAAGACACGGAAAAGACCGGTCATGGCATGGAGGGCTCTGGCAATTTCTTACCCACAGAACAATAAACTGTACCATCTTACATCGCATTATAATATTGACTCTGTCCCACTCTCTCTCTCTCTATATATATATACTTCTCTTTCATCAAATAGTACAACTTTCTCTCTCTTCTTCTGCTTCTTTTCTCTTCAAATATCTCTCTAATCTGATGATCCACGACGACATCGAAGAAAAACAGAAGGAATGTTATAAGTCGTTATAATCACAAACATAAGCATACTTGACTATGTAATATTACAATTTCATTAATCATCACTAAATTATTGATGAGACATACATACATACATACATACATACATACATACATACATACATACATACATACATACATACATACATACATACATACATACATACATACATACATACATACATACATACATACATACATACATACATACATACATACATACATACATACATACATACATACATACATACATACATACATACATACATACATACATACATACATACATACATACATACATACATACATACATACATACATACATACATACATACATACATACATACATAAGATTCATGTATCAGATTGATCATACGAAAACGAAAATCCAATATTTCATAAAAGATATAAACCGGTGGTCCATAAAGTCGTATAAAATCAACTAATTGAACTCTATATATACATACATATCCTAACCAATGATAGACAAGCCCTAAATCACGAAAAGGAAAAATGATGAAAACTACTGCATGCATGATTGGATTTACGGTCCGTGATGTATACTTATTACCTACCGAATATATATATATCATAACCACTAATCTACCATCCATCAATAATAGATACATATACACACACACACATATATATATATATAATGCTCTTACTGTTTCCTCCCAGGTGGTCGTGGTCGGCGGCTGAGGATTTGTGGTGGATGTAAGGTGGTTTTCCGTGCATGTTCTCCGGCGGAGGCCTCGAGTTATGAGTCTCCGGTCCTCTATAATCTATTTCATACACTTCCATACCCTTTTCCCCCGACGTTCCTATTATATATAATTAACACCAAATCCCACAAAAGAAAATCAAAATAAATTAGCAAAAACAACACATTTTTTACACAGCATATATATATATATATATATGTTATATAACAAGACTTTGGTCGGATCGAAGTTTAGAGGGAAACCTTTCACGGCGAGGAAGAGGTAAATGAGGAGCCACACGACGGCGACGGCTTTGCTTTTAGGCTTCATTTTCTCTTTCTAAAGAGGATTAATTACTATATATCTATAAAAAGATCCAAAAGTCTTTTTTTTTTTTTGCAAATTAGGGTTTTTTTTTTGTTTTCTTGGTTTTGAATTTTTAGTGTTGAATGGAGAGAGTGTGGGTGTGGGCTGACTATTATATATAGCGTGAGGAAAAAAAAAAGCGCATGTGTCCAAACAGGATGAGGAATTTTGTTACCAAAAGAATAAATTTAAAATAAATGATACTAGAGACGAACATTAAAAAAAATAAATTAGTTTAATATTCTTCTATATCACATTTATAACATCGGCACTTTAAATTAATTCACATTTGTTGATATGATATATTTAAAACGAAATCCAATATCTCTGGGTTTATTACATCGTTTTCACTGTACATATATATCAAGCAATGAACCAGAACTATAAAAAATTGTATGTAGTTGACTGGTCTAATTAGCTAGGCTCCATTGCTTGACGCAGCATTGCATGATTTATGATCAAACTGAGACTAAAAGAAATATAAATTACTCATAATAATAATGAAATAAATGATATCGTTTGATTTTTATATATATATATGATTTATGATCAAACTGAGGACAACTAAAAGAAATACTCCTATAAATTACTCATAATAATGAAATAAATGATATCGTTTGATTTATATATTGTGATACATTGTTTGCTTCTATCTCATGCTTCACATGAATTAGACCAGCTTTGTTTCATTGTTTTTCTTTAATACTTAGAAATATAATAGAAAGGTATATACACTAATATTGGAATCTTAGAAGAATAAAAAAAATACTTTTTTTAATTGAAAATTCCAATCAAATTATCATCAAAATACATAATTAAAAAAAACTATTTTAAAAAATTTAACTTGTCGCAACGTATCCTAATTAGCGGGCATCTTTCCGTGCTATATAATTCTCATGAGAGATTCCAATTCAACTGCATTGTTTGGTGAAGGAGCTAAATGTGAAGCGTTTTGAAACTTGGACCGTTGAAAATTTGTGTGCCAGTAATAAATATAACTCTTTGATTCAAGTAGCTCTATTTAATTTATGTACACGCATACGCCAATAGATACTACATCTTCAAATTTGAAATAGTTAGATATGAAAAAAAAAATCCTTTTTGGAGAAAACACCAAATTTGACATGATTTTGTATTGATGATCGCGATTTTAATGTAGTTTAAATCGGACGAATAAAATGTTATGACATGCGTTTAAGGAAACGCTATTTTGACATGGGGAATAGGAAACGCAGAAATAAGCGTTAACGTGCAAACGCTGTCCGAAAACGATGTTATTATATAGGGACCAAACGTATCATTTTCAAGAACATAATTTAGTGGGTCAATGAGTCATAAGGAGACATCGCTGGTCGAAACTGATGCGTAATAATAATAATAATAATAATAATAATAATAATAATAAATGGGTTTATTGTTTGACGTATTCTTCTTCTTACAACTGTACATCACAGTGCACTCCACCAAAAGAATTTAATTTAGTCGGTTGTGCATTCACAAAAAATACATTCTATTATTATAAAAAATTTTATATTCATAAGGAACTGTTCATATGCATTTATATAGACGTAGATGCTTACGTGGATGCATGTATATATGTGTGCGTATTTGTTTCCCGGCTAAGGTCGACAGGAAGTAATTAGCCGCGTATTAGGTTTCATTGATTGCGCTACTAATTCTGTTTAAGGGGCTTTAATTAGCAAGTGACCCAATCATTATTTTTAATATATGTGAATCTGAGTATTGAATATATACACACACACACGCGCGTCATTAAAAGCGAATTAAACCATATAACCAGGGATGATATATATATATATATATAAACCCTAAGTTGAAATGCTTTGAAACTATGATGTTAACATCATATCTAACATAAAATTCGTCTATAAAGCGGACCCATTTAATTTCATACATTCGTTTTCTATCCATAATCGTATTGTCCAACATCACAAAATGGATCTGATAGTGTAAATTACATACGCTACCTGCAAGTTGCAACTCAAAACATTATTACCATAGGAATCAAACGTCTAAACATCGAATAAAATGAACCAAACTAAATCAAAATAGACCTAAATTGTTATGCGTGCGTGCTGGTGGACCAATGCACTCGTGTTTCAGCATTGGACTGTGTTGACACTAAAACCTTCCATAGCTTCAAAACTTAGATTACGTCGACATTGCAATTAATATATATATATACTAACTACATATAAGATTTGGAATATATATATATATATATAGATTTTGGAACATGCTAATTTGTAACATTAATGTGTATCGGAGAAAACAAAGCTGTTAACAGATATATATATATGTCTTCATCTATATATGCATGTATTGAAAGATTAAAGCTTTGCCCATATGAATTCCATAAATGATCTGTCTGACTTCATTTCTCCTTCGGGTCCATCATTCACCAGCTATTTCATGGCTGGTTTAGGCATTGGCTTTCTTTCATTTTCGTACCCACCTCTTATACATTAACATATATACATTTTACATATATGTGTATATGTATGTATGTATCCAAGAGTTTAATGATATCCATGCACACATGCTGGCAAACATTTCATGATAATTGATGATGACAAGGATAGTCATACCAACTCGATTGTAAAGACTGATCTATAGTTATTATTATCTTCTTTTTTTTTTTGGAAAAAAGGGTTCAAGCATTGAAGAAAATAAACTAGTTATTATTACCTTATTATATGTATATAAATTTCGAATCCATGTTAATTTATTTGATAAATTCATTGAAATCTTATATAAACCATAGTATTCATCCGCACTTGGCTCGTCATGTATGTGGGTTACATTTTGGGCCTTGCGCAAAAGAGATATTGAACTGAAGGCCCATACAATAACACAATTACGTTTACGCCTCCACAAGTTTAGACCGGAATGCCGTCCTCGAACCGGACCGAACCGGAGGAAAGAATGTATATATAAATCGAATAGATATATTTTTTGTTTACAAAATCAGAAAATGAATAAAAAATAACTAAAGGGGAGTACAATTAAAATTTGAAATATCCACAACTAATTAATGTGACATTTTCTTAGAATGAATTATGTTTAAATCGCAACGTAAACTGAATTATGTAATGGTAAGTATACATAATTAAATTTTTTTTCACCGCAGGAAGCACATTTTATAAAGTTTTCATAATATTTTTCACACATAGGCGTGCATTTAAATTTTAAAAACTGGAAATAAATAGGAGAATTGGAAAAAAAAGGGCATATGGTTCTTTTTTTTTTTTCATACTTTCATCTCATTTGTGTGTATAAACATTTTACACAAATTGTTGTGGTTACCTATATTTCCACAAAAAAATAAAGATTATTACTAGAAAAAGGCTGTCCCGATTCTTGAGCTATTTGGTCAATCTTTCCGGAATAAAAAAATAATAAAATTTTAATTTTGACTAATCGATTAAATTAATTGCAGTGTGTGAACCCTTAACCCGAACCTTCTTCTTCATTCAGAAGCCATCCTCTCACCATTTTCTCTCCTATTCTTGCCGGCGCCGATTTGCTCCGACCAAGCACCGGCGTCCGTACAAATCCTACCTCCGAGACCTCTGAGTATTCTTCTTCCTTGTTCACACATTTCATTTCACGTTCTTCGACCGAACCCTCGATTTTTCCGGCGATTCCCGTGTCGGGTTTCGGATCCTGACCCGAATTTCTCGACATGGACTCCCCTTCCGGTCTGAAAAATTTCTCTCCATCTTCATCTTCTTCCTCTGCCTTTTCTCTGATGTTTGGTTCATGTGCTTCGCGTTGGTTATCAGACTCCCAGAATCTGAAAGCCAGCGACGACGATCTGTACGGAGCAGATCTGCTTCTGGTCAGCAACAGTGCATTTCCCGGCGGCGTCGAAGCCGGAGATACGAAAATTCTTCTAGGGTTTTTGTAATTTCCCCATTCTTCTTCTCCCTCTTGCGATTCTCGCCCGTTTTCTCGAACCGAATCCGGGTCGACCCAAGAATCCGGTCCGTTTCCCGGATATTTGTCCTTCCGTTTCGATTTTCGCCGGAAAGTAGGAAACGAGAACGATACCCACTTCGGCCAATTGCGGTCTAACGACCAGGTGTTGAGTTTTCCCGCGAAAGGACGGCGGAGTAAGGTGTCTGGGATCCATTTGCACCGAAGGGTCGGGTTTTCATGAGATACGGGTCGGGTCTGCGGCTTGGATCGCCTGACTCGGACTTGACCCATGCAAGTGACTTTCGGAGACGACGGTTCCAGGGTTGCTTCGGCGGCGACGGCGGAGGAGCTCTTGCTCCGCCGCACGAACAGAGGGCTCGAGCGCGTCCTTCCTCTGCTCCGGCTTCTGCTGCTGCCACTGCTCCTCAAGAACCGCATCAACGGCGGGGGATACTTCTCGACCCGACCCGGACTCGACACGGGTCTCCGGGACATCATCTTCTTCTTCTTCGTCTTCCCCAATCGACTGCGCTGTTTCTTGCTTTGCTTTTGTCTGCACTTGGATTTTTTCTGTCTTTAAAAAAAAAAAAAAAGGTGTCTAGCTTTTTTATTATTAAGGGAGATTTGAGGTCTCTGAGCATTAATGCTTTATTTAAAAATAAAGTATTTATGAGATTATCTGCTGTATTTTGGTGAAGTAATAAATACTTTTATTTTTATCAGATTTTCTTCAACTGAAAGAGTCTTTATCGTATTTACTTAAAATGATTTTAATTTTTGTAATTCTTGCCAATTTTACTCATTTAAAATGAAAATATCGAAAAGTCAAATCTTTACAATGTAGAAACCAAGAAGGTGGGACCATGTCATAAGAAGCGATGCCCTAGTCATCTCTTATATATATATATATAAAATAAAACCAGAAAAAGTAGCAAATCTATGGGGTTTGGACATATGAAACTGTGGCCTTTCTTCTTCGAATGATTTTCAAAAGTGAAGTCTTTTCAGACCAAAAAGCAAACACTCTTGTCTCCCACCACTCCCCCAAGCATCTTCTCAGTTAACCGACCAAACCTGTCTCCCCTCTCCATTCAATGGCCGGCTGCAGATTTCATGATCGATGTTTTTACCCAAATAGTAGAAAAAGTTTTGATTTTTCACTCCCTGAAACAAGAACCCTCACTTCTCTCTGTAACCATTTTCTCCCGAAGGTGAGAACTTTGGCCTCTAGAGAGAGATCCACTGCTGTTACATCATCAACGTGGCTAGGGATAAAATGGTAATTTAACGCAGAGTTGAGTTTTGCTGGTGAGCATAAATCTTCCTGGGAAGAGTCAACCAAGTCAGCTGGAGTCAACACTGAGAGGAGGTGTTCACTACTTTGTCTCAAAATAGCCATTGAAGCAAACGACAACATGAAAACATAAGAAGGAACTGAATTTTATGGCCTATACAAATTCATAAGATTACATATATAACAATCTACCAGACTTTCAACAGTCTAAATCTTTGGACATATTCAAACATTTCATGGGATATCCGAAGATTCTAGTAAAAATAAATTTTAATCGGTTATTTCATATACAGACGAGTTGTATTTTGATCATATCCATCACAAATTTTGATGATCTTGAGTTTGTCTTGCAGGTTAGAATTTCTCGGTAAGATTCGAGTCATCGGTTTCGTAGGACACTATTTATACAAGAAATTCTTATTACCTCGTCATTCTTTTTTTTATGCGTAAGCCATTTTTAAAAATAAATTTTGCCGCATCAACTACAGAACCGAAAAATTTTCGGTTATGTTTCGATGAAATTAAAATTAGGATTGGAATAACTTCCAACTCGCTAAACCGGTTTGAACCGGATACGGTACGGTGTTTGATTGTCCATATTTGTCGATGAAGTAGGCGTTTGAAGGATTTTTAATGAAACCTTTTTTTTTTACGACTATAACTAACATTATTACAATCTGTGTTTTGCGAAAAGGGTTTTAGTCGGGGTTTGTGTTCTTTCTCACTGTTCTTCTCTCGGTCGCAGCCCCTCTCTTCTTGGCCAGAGATTTCTCTGAATTTGCTGCGGTCTTCAGGTTTCTTATTCTTCCCTACATGGATTCGAGGTAAATAGGGCTTCTTCTTCACCCACGTTAATTCTCTGGTTTTTATGAAATTGGGACCGCCGTTGGATTTTCGATCTGTGTTCATGTCGTTCTTCGTCGGTTTTTAGGGTTCTTCATTGATGGAGAAAACCGCCTCTTTTCTGTTTGCCGGGACGAGCTTCAATAGGAAGAAGTTCGCTTCCGATTTCGCTAGGTTTAAGGTAATCATTCTCTCTCCGGTTCACCTTCGTGTTTGTCGTATTGACTTGATTTAGGTTCATATGTGGCGTATTCCTATTGTCAGGATGGGAAAGAAAACGATGAATCGAGCAAGGAACTGAGCTTCTTTGAGGAAGAGGAACCCGAACCAAAGAAGAAACTTGTGTCAACAAAGAAGAGGAAACAAAAATCTGCTCATTCAGGTTAACAGAAGGAACATGAACAATGTTTGTTTGATTGTTGTTCTCTGGGTTAGCATTTTGACTAACTCAGTATATGATGTTTTGGATTCAATTCTGGTGGTGGGTAAAAAGAAACTGTTGAGGGGTTTGAACTGTTCAAGATCTCGAAGAAAGTATCTGCTAAGGCTGATGATGAAGAGCAGAGAGAGGAGGATGAGATAGCCGATAACCCAAAGAAGGAATTCTATCGTCAAATGGAGGTTGGGACCGTCTTCCCTCGTTTCTTTTGGTGTCACTGTACCAACATCATGTCCATGTGTTTCATCAGAGGCAAGATTTATTGATTGTTTGTCCTCTGATGACAGCGAGATGCTTTGTCTCGGAAAAAGTACAGCATTCATGTCACCGGGAGCAACATTCCATCCCCACTTAGAAGCTTCGCGGAATTAGCATCGAGGTGCGTGGAATCAGGTTTCCGTTTGGCGGGTAGTTGTACTGATTTGGGTCTCGGGAAAAGTTGTTTGTAAAGTCTGGTCTTGAGAATGCGCAATGAAGATGGTGTCTCCTTTCCTTGGTTATTTATTTCTGTTGATATACTGTAATCATAAGTTTAAATCTTCTTACATCTTACGTTCCATCTTTCATGTTGCCATTTCATCGCATAGGTCTGTCTCTCCTCATGGTTGAGCCATACTGGTGCAATCTTTGGAATGAATGCTTTGCTTGTTTACAGGTATGGTTGTAAGCGATACATCTTGCGGAATTTGGCTGAACATGGATTCAAAGAGCCAACTCCAATCCAGAGGCAGGCCATTCCAACCCTCCTATATGTATGGTCTTGTTAACTCGAATCACTGTTTCTCTTTCTTACTATACGCAATCGCTTTGAAGAAAAGAGTACAAAAGGGAAGATTTGCTCATATGGATTTAATTTGTGAACGTCTTTATGAGTTTATGGTTCTAGTATTGATGTTTTTCATTTTTGTTGCCAGGATCGTGAATGCTTTGCCTATGCTCCAACTGGGTCAGGGAAAACCTTCGCTTTCATATGTCCAATGCTTATAAATCTTAAGGTAATTAGTTGTGTTTTCCCTTGAGGCTTTGAGCTGAATTATTATCGTAAATTCTGATTCTTGAATCATGCTTATGATTTCCCTGTCTATTTAGCGCCCTTCAACCGATGGTATAAGAGCTGTTATTCTCTCTCCCACTCGGGAGCTGGCTGCTCAAACTGCTAGAGAATGAAAGAAACTTACAAAAGGGAGCAAGTTTAGAATCAAAATAATGACCAAAGTCCTTGTCAAAACTGCTGATTTCTCAAAGCTTCACTGCGATATTCTGGTGTCGACGCCATTGCGGTTACAAAGGGTTATCAAGACCAAAAAAATTGACTTAAGCAAGTGCGTCCCGACATAGTTCAAATCCCTCAATAAAATTATTTGAGATGACAGGTTCCAGAAGATGGAAGTTATTTGTCGATACTTGCAAAATAAATCTATACTGATGCATTCATATATACACCTTTATCTGTTTGTATGTATATTCTCATTATAGTCTTTGTTGAATGACAGGGTTGAATATCTTGTCCTCGATGAATCTGACAAGCTGTTTGAGCTGGATTTGGTAAAACAGATTGATTCTGTGGTTAAGGCCTGTTCCAACCCTTCGATTGTACGTTCAATGTTCAGTGCTACACTGCCGGAATTTGTCGAGGAGCTTGCACGATCTAAGATGCACGATGCTGTTCGGGTGATTGTTGGCCGCAAGTGAGTAAAGGGAACAACACTAAAGCTCGTAATTTTTTCAGAAACTTCTGGCAAAGGATCATACATTTTCACATTCTCAGGAACACAACTTCGGAGACTGTTAAGCAAAAGCTGGTTTTCGCTGGAAGTGAAGAAAGAAAACTTCTTGCTCTTCGTCAAATCTTTGCAGAGGTGAGTCGGTTGTCTTAAAATGCTTTCTTTTACATGTTTAAATACCTCAAATTTCAACATTTTTGAAAATTGGATTTCTTGCATTTCACAAAGAAGCCTTGGAGAAGTGCATTTATATTTAGCTACTACACTAAGCTTGTGTATTGCGCTGGATTTTAAGTGCTGGAGATGAATGCTTTCGAGATTTATGAGTGAACATAATCTACTTTAACTCGTTAGTTTCAGTAATTATAGCTAGAGTTATTACATTTCTGTAACTGAGTTTTTCTACTTGGCAGTAGAGTCTGAAACCACCTGTCCTGATCTTCCTGCAAAGCAAGCAACGAGCGAAGGAACTCTACGACGAACTAAAATATGACAACATCAGAGTCGGTATCATCCATTCTGATCTCTCTCAAGCAGAGGTAACTTAGTCGAGATAATGAAACTTCTGAATGGAATTAGCTTCTTGTCTTTCGTTGGTTTCCAAATACTAACCTTAATCTTTGGGTGCAGCGTGAAAATGCTGTCGATAATTTCAGAGCCGGCAAAACATGGTTTCTGATTGCCACTGACGTGATTGCCAGAGGTATGGATTTCAAAGGTGTCAACTGCGTTATAAACTACGATTTCCCGGATCCTGCTTCAGCTTATATCTACAGAATAGGTATGTTTCTTTATTCTTGGAATCACATATAACCTCGAAAGTATGTCTAAACTGTTCGCTCCTTCGAACACCTAATGTGTGAAATTCAAAATGAATGCATATTTTACAAATTAGTAGTGTCTTATTATATACCATTTTCTATATTAAAATGGTATAAAAACATAAAAAATTAGAAACAAATATTTAATACCTTATAGGATATTTATCAATTGAAAATGAGAATATGATTAATATTTGGCTGTAAAATATAATGAGAGGTAATGATGATTTTCTTAAAAAGGATTACCATGGATATTTAAACTTATTTTTGGATTTATTCATAAACTAAGATAACAAAATCATACTTTCACAAAATGGTAATATATACGTATACGTATTTCTAATATGTATTTCGTTTTTTTCACTGTTAAGGAAAATGTGATATTAAAATGGACCGACGGAGAGAAAAAGGTCTCTCCGTATAATAGATAAAAATATTATGTGTTTGATAAAATATCCATATCCCTATTATCAAAATATTAATTTCCTAATATAGGCGTGTACCATCGAGTGGGACCCACTTTAAGCCTAGTGGCCCAATCAGTGGGCTCACACGCACACGTTACATACGGTTACACATTCCCTGACCCGAATTCCTCTCTCCCTCTCAATCGTGAATTCGTGATTATGTGACGGGATTTTTTCTCGGCTTCAGCGAAAATCCAAATACGCCAATTCGAATTCTCTCGTTTTCATTTCCGATGAAGTTGCTGTGAAGCTTTTGGCGATTGAGAACAAGTTTTTGAGTCCATAACGACCTTTTCTTCTTCCAGATCTTGGTTTACTGTCTCTTACAGGTACTGTTCTTGTTTTCTCCATGTTTATGAGTCGGATCAGGTTGATTTAGGGTTTAGTGTATTGATTTGCGGGTTCTGGTGGCGAATTTGTTCCTGTCGATTGAGTCCGCAGTGTTGAAAACCCTTTTTTGGGGCGTGTAGTTCAGATTTTGTTAATGGCTTCATAGTTTTGGGTTTCGATCAATCAGAGTATTTGAAGTTAAATGCATCTGTTTAGATTTCGCTGTTGTGGGTTCCAACGACACGTGATTATTATGATCAACTCGAACATTGACATTGTTGAGAAAAATCATTTGCTGAAATCTGACTTGGTAGACTGATCACTGTTTGATTTTGCCTGGACGATGATGAATTCATTATCGAGCCCGTAGCTGTCGACTTGGGTGCTCCTTTGCTTCTGTTGGTAAGAGAAATGATAGTTGACTCCTCACCATTCCTCCACCTACTACCATAAAACTTTTAGCCGAAATTCAAGAAATTGGTCAGTCATGTATCTGTTAAGGCACCACTTGTCAATTAAGGGGGTGAATGAATGATGAATTCCCCCAACTTTTAGTGTTTGCCTTCTCTGCTCTTAATATGGCATTGAGACCATTCAATTCATTTACATGACTTATTTGCTTTATCTGGTCAGGATCACACAGGGCAAGGACGGGATGGGTAAGAAAGGGAAATGGTTTTCTAACTTAAAGAAGGCTTTCAGCCCAGATTCAATGGTATTACATTTAAATTTGTGAACTTCCGCCATACTTCTGCGTATAAAATGTATGTCATTTCCTACGGGATTCTTGACATCTTAATACTTGCGTGTTCTCAGAAATTCAGACATAACGTGCCTCAGTATCATAATGGTGTCATCTCTGACCCTGTCTTGGTGGAGACCGTCAAAACATCTCCTCCTCCTTTTGAGGTGATTGTTGTGCAGAACAAGAACGAGTGTTCTTCCTCAGCCGATGTTTCTGCTTCTGCAGCTGCTGATATTCCTGAAGTTTCATCTCAGTCTGCCTTAGAGGTTGTTAATTGTGCTAAGCCTGCTCATATTACTGGGAAGTCGATTGACGAAGCAGCAACTATCATGATTCAGACAGCATTTAGGGGCTATTTGGTATGTTTTATCACTTTTATGTTTAGTATTGGCTACTCTGCAGACAAGTTGGTTACTCCTAATGTCATGTGCCATCAATGAATGCTGACACGATGATAAGTGTGTTAATGAAACGTTGATCAGTTCTCTAGTCTTTCACTGACTAGTCTTCACTGTTCCTGGATCAGTTCTCTAGTCTTTCAATGGAAGTATCAAACACTTTTTGCTATTTTTTCACTCCTTATTATGGATCTAAAGGTATCTTTATCAAGAAGCTCCTATGTTTGCAACCGTGTTGTCTGCTGTGGTTTCACTATTCCAGGCAAGAAGAGCATTGCGGGCCTTGAGGGGTCTGGTCAGACTTAAGTCACTGATGGAAGAACCTGTCATGAAACGACAAGTCGCAAATACCCTTAAGTGTATGCAGACTCTCTCTCATGTTCAATCACAGATCCAAACAAGGAGAATTAGGATGTCAGAAGAGAACCAGGCTCGCCAGAAGCAACTCCTTCAGAAGAATGCCATAGAGCTCGCCAACTTGAGGGTCTCTCCCTTTTCTTTCTCTCAAAACAGTGGTCAATTAACTAAACTGGTAGTTTAAATCATTTCTATGGAGTCCAGTCATTTTGTCTTATGCTTACACTTTTTTCCCCTCTTTTTGGCTGTGACTGCAGAATGGGGATGATTGGGATGATAGTTTGCAGTCAAAGGAACAGGTCGAGGCCAATATTCTGAGCAGATATGAGGCAGCGATGAGAAGGGAAAGGGCATTGGCTTATGCATACTCTCATCAGGTATTTCCTTGTGACCTAATGTACTCCTTACTGCTATTGATATGGTCCAACATCTGCTTTTTTATTCCGAAAATTAAGCAAATTCGGCCGTTGAAGTTAGTTTGTTATCTCTTCGGCAACATGAAGTAGCCTTAAAGTATGTTTAGGATACCGAGATCTAAAATCTGATTTCCGTTCATGAAGATTCACAAGAGTTCATTGCTTACTGTTCCTGGGGGATTGAATTCTCCTGCCCGTGGTTTCGTGTCCCGTCTTCTGATCATACTGTCCTTGTTGCAGCAAACCTGGAAAAACAACACGGGTTATGCAAACCCCACTTTGTTTATGGATCCAAGCAACCCGACCTGGGGCTGGAGCTGGTTGGAGAGGTGGATGGCCGGCCGTCCATGGGAGAGTCCTGAGAAGAAAAACGACAACAACGATGACCGAAATTCATTGGTTAAGAGTTCTATAAATCAGAACAATCCCAGAGTAGAGATTACGAAATCTGTCGCCCGCAGTAAACTCAACAGTAGTTCAGCTCAACCGAATACCCCATCATCGGCCAGAGCCCCGAGGAAGAAGAACAACTTCCTCGCCCCTCCGACACCTTCCCGGATAAACCCGTCTTTTAGAAAATCCAAGAACACGAAGCCATCTAGCCCCGACGATGATGCCCAAAGTATGGTGTCAATGAATTCTGGGAAGAACCCTAGGCGCAGCATTGCAGGGTCTTCATCATCATCATCTCCATCATCGTTATCCGTCAGAGACAATGAGAGCCTGGCTAGCTCACCAGCCCGAGCCAAGCTCAAGCCTCAGGGAAATGGAAATAGAAATGGTGGTTCGGACAAGGCAAAGGCAACAGTGAAGAAGCGGCTCTCCTACCACTCGGGCTCCTCCCCTGCGCCCCCCAGGCCGAGGCGATTTTCGGCTCCTCCAAAGGTGGAGAATGGCAGGTTAGACATGGAGATTGCCGTTAACAACAGAGGAAGGAAGCTTGAGGTAAAATAATGTTTGAAAGAGATATCTGAGAATACGTCCCGCCACGCATGCCGTCCTGGACCTGGAGGATGCGAGATTCATTTGTGCAGTGTAAGCGTCCCTCATTTATTTTATTATTATTTTTATTGTTGTTATTATTACCTTTTTTTTCTGTTATTTATTTATTTTCGGAGTCTGATAAATTCAAGATCTGTTATACTGAATCTTGTAATTGCTTTTAATATGCTCGATTACTTTTGTCATTTGAAGTGTACAGGAAAACTTGAATTTGCAGTTGATCTTTTATATATATATATATATATATATATATATATAGGTTATACGTGCATTGAATGGACGATAAGTAAAAAATTTGTTGAAGTTATGGTGTGAGCTGCAAAACCTTCTGAGGCAACCGGAGGTGTTTGACGTTGACTTTCGTAGCCGACTTCTTGGCCAAGCAAAGATACAAAATTGCATTATATAATCTGTTTTTCCATGAAGAACCTAAAGCCTAGAAGGCGGTGATCGCTATCGGGGAAACCGAACACGAGCGCTCTGGTTCCACTACAACCTTTTGTTTTTTCCTGTCGTGTTGCTTGATCTGCGGTAACAATGGTAAGTTTATGTTTGTTTGTGTTCTATTCTTCTTCTTCTTCTTTTTCTTCTTCGTTTTTTCGTCTTACGTGTGATTTGTTCTTGCGTGCGCGGGTTGCTTTTTCGGGTCTGTGTCGTCTTCATTGGGGGATTTTGGATTTTGATAGACGATGGTAGGATTATGGGTTACAGAGATCTTTGTCGGCGATTGATTTCTGTAGTGCTACGTGTCCTTCCTTCTCCGGTTGCATTTCTTCCTCCCCGATGACCGATTGGGAGAGAATCTGAATGTTCGAATTTGATCTCTAATTGATTTCGTTTTCCTTTCTGCGTTCTGGAGATGAGAGTCACAACCCAAGTTTCATTGATTGCTATAACATGGATAGAATAAGTTCTTACAAACCAAGAAATCTCTGTCCGGAACATTGGGACAAGTGGTGGAGTTACTGGAAAATTTGTTCGGAGTGTTGTGTAATATCAGAAAGTTGCTGCTGAGATTTCTGTTTTATAGGCATCTCTTTGTCTGATCAGGTGGCGCCAATAGTAGCAGGCATGGCGGTGGCCGCTGCAGCATATGCAAGCAAATATGGAATGGAGGCATGGCAAGCTTTCAAGGCAAGGCCCCCGAGGCCCAGAATCCGCAGGTTTTATGACGGCGGCTTCCAATCTACAATGACACGGCGAGAAGCTGCTCTGATTCTCGGAGTTAGGTATACATCTCCCCTTCTTAATCTTCCTAAAACCTGATTTGATCAACTAGACGCGTGAGACGAGGGAAGTAATTTTGATTTTGGAATCACATTGGACTGATAAGCTACTAGTCTTTCGGCTCATTATCTCAGAAAGCGGGCTGATACTTGCTGCTCATCTTGTTTTCGTGGAATACAATACGAGGGATTCAAAACCCGCGTACTATATTTCATCGGCGGTCGAAAATTGAATCACTCGGATGTCTTTTGTGAGGTTTGAAATGGGTGGAAGCTCGTGTTCTTGTTGTGGACTAAGAGTGCGTTCTTGATCATCCAATGTATGGTCTTTAACAGAGAAAGCACGGCGAGGGAGAAAGTGAGGGAAGCGCATAGGAGAGTGATGGTGGCTAACCATCCAGACGCAGGGGGAAGCAATTACCTCGCGTCCAAGGTCAACGAAGCCAAAGATATTATGCTCGGCCGGTCCAATGGAAGCGCTTCTGCCTTTTAACCGTCTCGCCTCTTTACTAGCAGATAGATCCGATTACGAACGGATGTCATGACTTGGGACACAATCTCGTTATGGAGCTTGTATTCTTTCATCTCGTTTGAATTCGATTTAACTTTTCAATTTACATGAAAGGTTCATACCCAAATTTTGTTTTTAATAAATAAAATTTTAATTTCATTTTTTAGTCTAAAATAAATTCGAATTTTATAATCATTATCGTTTTTAAATACACATCATCATTTATATATCCTTTCCAAACAAAAGAGAGGGCGTACTTACAAGCGTAGAAAATGTTCCGAACGTAGCACCCACCAACTATAATAAAATGGGCTTAGCCTATTGGGCCCATTAGTAGGCCCGATCAGATGTTATATCGACGAGGCTTTCTCGTGCTGCATAAATAATTGTCCCGTTAGGGTTTTTGTCGCCGCTTCAGATTTCTGCTTCGTCGCGCTCTCTCCTCTGTGGCCGCACTCTCACTCTCGTCAACATGGGGTATGGTTCTCTCTCTATTTGATCTTCCCCATTTGTCTTTATTCTCTGTTTATTTGGCGCTGTTATTGTCCGTTGTTTCGATCAAACTCGAATGGATTTCGGATTTCGTTTTGTGTTGTGATCTTGGAGATGGTTCGTCTTTCATTCGGAACGCTTTGGATCTCACCATATGTTTGTATTAAATTTAAGTGTCATGCTTATTGACTGATTGTTCCATGATTCTGTATATTCTCTTTGTTTCTGATTCTCGACGAGCTATTTAAATTTTTGAACTAGCGAATTTTGTTATGCGTCTGCATTTGGGAATTTGAGGTCATGCGTTTTGAACCACGAAACAGCAATAAGTTTGTCAGATGCTTGTCAAGTATTTGATAAGATGCTTGAATAAATAGATTGCTCTGAGATGGTTATACTGATCGGATTTGATGTAAAACCTTCAGTTGGTTGTCGAGCAGTGTTTTTTGTTTGGGAGTCTGTGTGTTTGTTAAAAAGGCCCCTTTGCTTTTGCTGAAATAATAGAGATGTTGGATTCTATCTTGCTCGAGTATGTACTCAGCACTGTTGTTGGGATTCTCCAAATTTTGGGAATTGATGTTTCGATTTCTTTTACGGTATTTGATTTGTTCAGGAAGACGCGTGGTATGGGAGCTGCCCGCAAGCTGCGGAACCACCGCAGAAGGCAAAGGTGGGCTGACAAGTCTTACAAGAAGTCTCACCTCGGGAACGAATGGAAGAAACCCTTTGCCGGATCTTCACATGCAAAAGGAATCGTCCTTGAGAAGATGTAAGGCCGCTGATGCTAATTTCTACTGTATTCTTTGCACTCTTATATTGGGCGTTGTAATTCCATGTAGTCTTATTAAATAATACTGGCTTGACAATTGCAGTGGTATTGAGGCTAAGCAGCCCAACTCTGCTATCCGTAAGTGTGCTAGGGTTCAACTGATCAAGAATGGAAAGAAGATCGCAGCTTTCGTTCCCAACGATGGTTGTTTGAACTACATCGAAGAAAACGTGAGTTGATTGAGAATGAAAAGCTCGGGTATCATCATTTGGTGATTTTTTTCTTACTAAAAACGATCAAAATTTGTGAAACAGGACGAGGTGTTGATCGCGGGATTTGGACGTAAGGGTCATGCCGTGGGAGATATTCCTGGAGTTAGGTTCAAGGTGGTGAAGGTATCTGGTGTCTCCCTCTTGGCTCTCTTCAAGGAGAAGAAGGAGAAGCCTCGCTCTTAATTAAATATCGTCTCACCCTTTTTTGGTAGTTTGGTTTGGTCTCACTGCTTTTCGTTTCAAGAACTATGTGTTCAGTTCTTACTCTTTAGTCTATCCGAGGAGTTTTGAGTTTTCTCATGTCATGAATCATTTATTTAAGTATTTTTGTTTCACTTGCCATCCACTTCTTTTGTTTTGTTTGTTATCAAGCATTTCACATATTCTCTTTTCTCCTGTTTGAGTGAGTTATGCCTTGTCCTAATACGTAGAAACACCACGAGTGTTTTTTCTTTTCTGTTCAATTATCAGATCTGGTGGGGAAAAAACTTGATCACGTAAACGAACGTAAATCTGTCATTCTTTACATTCCTAACAACAGTGCGGTTAACAATCTTCTTCACCCCAAAAAGACCAAAAAAAAAAAGACATCATTGGCATCAAACATCTATCTCTTGAAGTGTTTCCCTCTTGCACCCCCATCTCTTTGTTCACATCCAAAGCTTTCTCATTTGCACATCTTTGGCTTCCTTAATCCGAAAAAAAAAGAAAACTTTTAAGATCCACACTAAGTGTTAATCGGCTAACAAAAGAAGAGAAAAAAGAACTTCGGTGATTTTTTTCTCACCTAAGGACTCTGTAAAATGAATCTGGAAAAGCCGGAACTTGGGGAAAGTGATGATGATTAAGCATCTACTTTAGTATTGTTGTTTAGTTTTCTATCTCTGTTGGTTGGCTTAAGGGCAACATGCTTGAGCCTGTAGCTGAGAAGGGAAGGCCCAAAGATGCTGTATTTCCCAGCACTGCTGAATGCTGTTTCTGCATCTTCCCCTCTCTTGAAAACCACCTTGGCCTTTTTGCTTTTCTTCATGACCTCTGTCTCTGATTCCCTCAGAGCTCCATACCTGCTAAAGATCTTATTCAACTTTTCTACTGATGGAACTGAATCCAAATCAGTAAAGTTCAGTATTAGTGCATTGGGTGCCATTGCATCCTCGTCTTCCTCGTAACAATCTTCCTCACAACTATTATCAGAACACTCTTCAGCCGAGTTTTCTGTGCCAGGATGCTCTTTAGAGGCTGACCCAGAGAGTTTCTCCACCTCAGTTGGACCATTGTCTTTAGTAGGAATATCAGGCACAACTTCTGTAGCTTCGCTCTTCTTCTCTGGCAGTATTTGCTCTTCAGAATAGTCTTTCACATCATCGGGCTTCATCGAGAGACGTTTTTCTTGGGTATTGTTCTTGGCCACCATTTTTGGTGTCGATCCACTGCAAGGCTTGAGTAAGGTAGGAGTTGAAGAATTCATCTGGCTCGCCACCCTAAGTATGCTAGCTCCAATTCCAAAGACTGGTTTAGGCTTCTGTGGTTTATTAGTATCACCTCCTGACAAGTTTCCTTTCCTATCTTTTTTTGCAGAATCTTGAGATATCAGATCCTCCAATGGTAGATTGTTCTTCTTGATCCTCTTAATTGACTTGTCAGATTCTGAAAACTCTGCCTTGCGTTTCCTGTCAGGAAACTGCTTACCATCAGATTTGTCATCTGCTCCACTCCCTTTACTTTTACTCCGGCGTTTTTCAGCAATGAACTCTATCAAAGTTTTCTCCTTTTTATTCCGACCAGTTCTATCGTCAGACTCACCCCTTTGCTTTTGACCAGACTCGTTGTTCTCTTCTATCCTTCTCTTTTCAGAAGACACTTGTTCAACAGTTTTCGGTTTAGCCACTTGAGATATATCCTTGTTCACTCCTGGAGGAGCAACCTTTGGTGCAGACTCTACAGATCCACGAAGTTTTTCGAACTGAGGAAGATCGGGATAACCTTTCCATCGGTGAAAAGCCAATAACTGAGCTCGATGACTTGTGAAATGCAGTTTATCAGTCAGACTGTAGCTAGGAGTACATGCTATAATCTTTATATACTCAACAAGTTTAGCAGGTTCAAAGAAAGATGCACTTGAGATACTATCTCCACCTTCTCTTACACTCGATTCTTCTCGAATGCCAGGATTTATTACGTTCTGAGTCTTGATCTTGTTATATACTTCCTCCGAGATACAAGGACAGGCTAAACCAAACTCTGTCCTCCGAGAAACTTCCTCCAATGCACAGTCAATAGCATGGCGGAACTCAGCCAAGTTGCTCTGCTTCTCCAACTGTGAGAAATGCTGATGGAATGGCTTTATCCGGGATGGGTCATTCCAAGCAAAGGTGTGATCCCCAAAATAAGTTACCAAGGAAGTGCCTTTCTTAAAGTACTTCTTTGCTTTTTCTGATGCATCCGAGGCATCAAATTTCTGTCCCGGCCACCACGGATGGCTCCTCACTTTTGCCCAAACCAAATCTGAGTCACTGAAATTTGGCTTTGCATCCTCGCTCTTGTACAGCTTCAAACCTGCAGCTGGCTTACCTTCCTTATCCTCAATTTCCATATCTTCCGTTTCTGACCTATCGAGATGTATTTGCCCATTAACATTTCCGTGTGAACACGAATCTTGAAGTCTAACATCAGAATCCCTCTCATCACCGGGATTAATACTGTCAGAGCGGATTGTCTCTTGTTCCATTGCATCATGACTGTTTTCTTCTGCTTCCTTATCAGCCAAAAGCTTACTACGGATCCCATCAGAATCCTTTTCAGCCATTGTCTCCTTGTTGTTTGCCATCAATATCTCACCGCTACCACTGGGGAACTTCTTTTCACAGCATTTAATCTCCACGTCTACGTTTTGGGTCTCTGCTTCTAAATCAAACCCTCTATTTACAGCGTCTGTTTTCCTCTCCAGATCAGTACATTCACTTCTCTTGTCCATCGTATCATCCCCAGCTGAAACCGAGCTGCCACAACCCTGTTCAGAAGAGACTCCGGCTTCCAGTTCATCCCTAGCCCCGTGTTCCACCTCCTCAACCCCCACCTGAACTTCCCCGCTCACTTTGTCCACTAGGGTTTCCGATGGAAGTTCGTTCCCACCACCGGAACTCGAAGCATTAACGCTATTAACAGTATCCGTATCCATGTCTGACCCCGTCGACATCAGGACTACAAAGAAACCCTAGAGAACGCGTATGACAAGCATAAATTACCTCGTAGACTTGCATCCAAAACAACAATAAACAAGATTCATAGCGACACACGAGAGAGAGAGAGAGCAAACCGAGCAAACCTACGGCGGTCGTTCTCCGGCGGCGGCGACGGAGCTTGCTTTTGGAGTAAAACGAAGAGAAAAGATGAGGAATTGCACAGAGACGGGGTTCGCTTGTTGGGCTTTATTTGTTGGGAGATGTCCACGTGGCAACTTCATTTGCTGTCTCTTCTTCTTTGCTATTTTACCTTTTCCTTCAACAATTCAGCTTAGAACCAATTGCAGATGATGATGGTGGTGGTTGTCATCATTACCATCACCATCATATCATCATCATCATCATCATCATCATCATCATCATCAGAGCATATAAATCCCTAGATGAGCATGAAGGGTCGTGGACTTTTGATTCATTTACACACGAATTCAGGGTATTAACACTGTTTAACACACATGAACATAGGTATATTACAACCTCGTATACATACAATGGAAATGGAACGTGGTCAGTCACGGTCTAAGTGCCATTCACTGGCATAGTAAGAATTAGGCAGACCGAGCCAGAACTTGAAAGCCTCGGAGGCTCTCTTCCGTTCGATCCGTCTGTCCTGCCTTGCCTGTGAAGCATGCTTGCTCGTGAACATCCTCGAATGCATCTCCACGTATATTTTCTTGTACTTTGTCTTGTTCGGATGTATCCCATTCTCCTCCATGCACGCAATTATCTCCAACGCCTTCCTGAAAAAAGCTGCCCTTACACATATATCTGCTAATGTATCCAACAATCCTTCATCTGGTTTCATCAATGGAGGAGGGGGAGGATGACTTGAAGAATCACCACCTTCGCCTTCTCCTCTGGTTTTCACCTCGAGCCTCTCCTTGATCTCCTTCCACAACAAAAGGGCTTCGCCCGGTTTCCTGGCCACTGAGATTCCATTGGCAATGCTTCCATAGGTTGCCACATTAGGGTAAAACCCGTTTTCTTTCATCCTCGAAACCACTTTCTTTGCTTCTTCAACCAAACCCAATCTGCAATACCCTTCAACCAACATGTTCCATGCAATCAGATCAACTTTGACCCGTGGATCCCTCACCATCTCATCAAACACCTTGTTTGCCAACTTGGGTTGTCCCGAGGTTGCGAAAGCTTTCATCAAAGTAGTGTAACTGATCTTACTCGGAGCAATCCCTTTCGTTCTCATCTCATTGAAGAACGCTAAAGCTCCTGCACTATCGTCTATCAGTATACATCCATCTATGATGATGTTATAGGATACCACATCTGGCTCGATTCCAGCATCTTCAGCCATCTCCCTCAGCAAATCCTCTGCCTTATCTATCTGCAACTGTTTACAGTACCCTTTGAGTAGAACATTGTATGTGACCCTATTCGCCGGTATACCCATCTTAGCCATCTCGGCCAATACTTGACGAGCTCTTTCCATCATACCTGCCTTCACAAACGCTGACACAACGGTCGTGTATGTAACATTATCCGGGTGACTCTTCGTGTCATCTTGATGCCTCATTGCCTCAAGCATCCTAACCGTGTCAGCTACTCGCCCATCCTTCATATAACCTTTCATCAGCGTAGTGTAGATCCTCGAGTCGGGAGCAAAGGGTTTAGGCAACAATGGAGGTTCACCACTCGGGTTAATCGAGTTAGGTAGCAACTTCTGGAACACATCCTCAGAGCCCTCGCTGTTCAACTCATCCCGAGCCAAATAACCCGATTCATCATCATCATCATCATCATCATCATCATCATCATCACCATCATCTTCTGCTTTCTTCAGATCCGCTGAATTACATTCCCGTAGAATCCTGCAGATGTCTCTCCTTCTCTCTCTCATTGCTTGAACAATCCTCTCCGCTGTTCTCAAATCACCGAATCCAACATATGCCGCAACAAGAGAATGCATTGTCGTCATACAAACCGGAATCCCCTTCTCTATGATCCTTTCTAATACGAAAACGATCAAGCCCTTCCGATCAACCCTAGCACACAGCTTGATCATCACATTGTATGTCAACACATCGGGTTGGCAACCCCATTCAGGCATTTCGTCGAACAGCTTCAAAAACCTCCCGGTATCACCAAGATTTGCACAAGCATTCAACACGGCGTTAAACGCAGCCGTATCGGGCCTAGACTGAGCCACCAATGACGGGTCCGCGAAGCGCCGGACGCGTCGGGTCCCGGCGGTGAATAGCTTGACGGACTCTACCGGACCTTCGTCTCCGGCGGCGGCTAGGTTGGCTACGGCGGCGGTCCACGCCTTGACGTGGGGGAGGTAACCTGAACGGAGCATGGACTTGATGACGGAGGAAGAGTAAAGGGTTTGGCCTGATTTTGCGGCAGCCATAGCGAGGAGGCCGAGGGGGTTAGCGTCAAGGCGGTGGAGCTGAGTATCCATGTCTGACCCCGTCG